ATCGTCACCTATATTATTAATGCGTCTTTTTCGCTTTAGATGCCAATAAAAATTATAAAAATGTTGTCAAATTCTCGTTTGATTCAGTACGAACTAGTAAACCATAAAGTTTTGTATGCCACCACGGCCGATTACTAGATGTTTTGTCACTTCGAGCTCTGTGGCCAAGAGACCCTCAGGATTGGAAGTAGCCCTCAGTGCAAAAACATCCTACTTATCGTCCTAGGTACATAATTATCTACTTTACTGATACTTACTGTTGTTATTTGCCTTCAATACGGAGCTGACATTCATGGCAATAAAATATGGGATCGAGAGATCCTATGGGAGTATATATATATATATATATATATATATAATATATAATATATATATATATAAATATATATAGTGTGTGTTGTGTGGTGGTGTTGTGTGTGTGTGTGTGTAGTAAACAACCATCCTGTTGCTACATGTTCCTTACAGGGGGGAATTATGAAAGGGATTTATGGAGGAAATATGAAATGACAAACCAGTCAGTAACAAGCTAGTTACTTAAGTCGTAAATAAATGAATAATAAAAATTATGCAAAAATAAAATTACATGGGCGTTTTCTGGCTTCTATAAACTCTCGAGGCGGACAAGCAACCTCGTACATATCGTCGCCGCTCGATCATCAGAACCCTTACAACGCTTGGTGCATTAAATACAAATGTATACGCCCTACCCGCCTTCATGTCTTTTTTCTCTGCCTTCCTCCACGCGTCTGCGGCGACCGACGTCGGCGGCGCCGCTGTCGACGATCTTTCGAGTCCTCAAAGTCGAGTCGTCGAGGAGAGAGCTGCTGGGGCGGGCCATGCGCTGCTTCAGTCCCTGCCACGCGGTCCTTGACGGAGCGTTCTTCGCCGCCGAGCAGGAAGGCCACGCGCGCTTGCCGGACCGCCGGCGCCCCACGCTGCACGTGCTCGAGCGCGCGCCTGACTCGAGAGAGCAGAGGATACGGCGGCTCGAGCGCACGGCCAATAATTATCAGAGAGCAGAGGAAATGGCTAGAGCGCGCAGTAGATCATTAAAAGAGAGGGGAGAGGAAATGGCTCGAGCGCCCAACGGATCATTATCAGAGAACAGAGGAAATAGCTCGAGCGCGTAGTGCATCATTACTAGAGAGCAGAGGAAGTGGCTCGAGCGCGTAGTGGATCATTAGAAGAGAGCAGAGGAAATGGTTCGAGCGCGCAGTGCATCATTACCAGAGAGCAGAGGAAGTGGCTCGAGCGCGCAGTGAATCATTACATGAGAGCAGAGGAAATGGTTCGAGCGCGCAGTGCATCATTACCAGAGAGCAGAGGAAATGGCTCGAGTGCGCAGTGGTTCAACATTAGAAGCGCTATTTTTTTCGAGTTACCTTTTATACTTCCATTAAAAAGGAGCAAACATTTCGCAGAAAGGTAAAAAAGTTCGAGAAAAAGAATCAACAATATCGCGAAAACTATCGAAAATTTTGCGAAAAAATCAATAAGTTCACGAAATCTGTTAACGATTTCGCAATAATTGTATACAATTTTACGTGAATTTTGCTTTATTTTTTCTTTCTCGTCAAAAAGACTCATCAATGATAAATAAGTGACGGAGTGAGTGTGAGAGTGATATTATGAATGAGTAGATGAGTCAGAAGTGAGGAAGCCAGTGTGTGTGTGTGTGTATGTGTGTATTTATGTGATCGTGAGTGTGTAAGAGTGCAAGTGTATAACTATCAAGGAATGAACGAGAATAGGTGGTTTAGTGAACGAACAAGTGCATGAGCGATTGAGAGATTGAGCAAGAGAGTGAGGGCGCAAGTGAGGAAGCGGCCGAGCGAAATTGTGAGAGCGAAATCTTCGAGACCGCCGCCGCTCTAAGCTGCATGTGCTCGAGCTCGAGCGCAGTGTATTAACAGCAGAAGCGTCATTTTATTCGTATTTATACTTCGCGCAAAAGGAGCTACGGATTTGCGGAAAGATCGACAATTTCAGGAAAAGTAATCAACAATTTCGGGAAAACTGCCGACAATTTTTTGGAAACGATCAACAATTCCGTAAAAAATTGTAGACAATGAATTGAATTTCGCTTCATTTTTTCCCATAATTGAAGAAAAAGAATCATCAGTGATAAATGAAAGAGAGAGTGAGTGTGAGAGTGACTATAAATGAGTAGATGTGTCATAAGTGAATAACCTAGTAGTGTTTGTGTGTGAGTAAGCGTGTGAGTGTGTAACTGAGTGCGAGTGAATGAGTATCAGTGTGTGAGAGAATAAGAGAGTGAACGAGGGCATGAACGATTGAGAGATTGAGCAACTGAGTGAGTGAGCAAGCAACCGATCGAGAGAGTGAGTGAAAGCGATCCCTTTGAGTACGCCACCGCCTCAGTGCTCGAGAGCTGCAATGCTCGAGCGGTACGTGCTCGAGCGCGCACCTGACCCGAGTGAGCAGAAGAAACGGCTCGAGCTCTCTGTGGCGCATCGCCAGAGGCGTTATTTCTTTCGAGTTCCCTTATACACTTCGCGAAAAAGCAGAAAGCAATTCTCGGAAAGAATTTCGCGAAAACCGTCGACAGTTTCTCAAAGACGGTCAACAACTTCGGGAGAACGGTCAACAATTTCGCTAAAATTGCAAACAATTTTGCATGAATTTTGCTTTAATTTTAAAGTAATTGTATGAATTAGTAGATGAGTCACAAGAGAGTGACTGAGTTAGTGTGTGTGTGTGCGTGAATATCAGCGGGTGAGTGAGAGTCTGTGAGTGGGTGTGACAGTAACTGAATGAACTACTGAATAAGTGAGAGAGAGTGATTGTGCGAGTGGTTAGTCAGTACATAAACGAATAAATTAGTGAGATAATGAGTGTGAGAGTCTTCGCATATGAGTAAATGAGTCCGCGCCACACCCACTGTGGATCTCCCGCTCCGGTCTGTGAGAAGCCTTTAATTGTGAAAGAAGTGAGTGTGAGCGAAAGCGATGTCACCTTTGAGGCTGTAGGCGCTGGGGCGCATGCGTTTCGGACTGCAGGCGTTGGGCCGCTTTCTCTTGAAAGCGCTGGCGCTCGAGGAGCTGCACTCGACGACGAAGGTCGGGGTGCAGCGCTGCTGGCGACGATAGCAGTCCCTGCAATAGTCCTCTTCATCTTCCTCCTCTTTTTCCTTCGAGGATGATTTTCCCTTGGGCGACGACTTTCCTTTGGGCGACGGCTTGCCTTTGGCGGCGGAGTCCTCGCGTCGACTCCCTTCCGACTCCGCGCCGCGTGGGTCTGGCGGAATCGATATTAACGCGATCAATTGAATGGGAGAGTGGAAAAACAGAAAGCTCCTTTTGAGATAATTCGAGTTAAAATGTTTGATTAGATATCACCAGGGGGCGGATTTTGGTACCCTAAAACATCACGAAAATTATCAGCTATATGATCTCAAAATGTTCTTAAAATTCCTTAAAAGTAGAGATAAATGATGTAAAAAATATTATCAAAACCAGTTCATATGAACAACACAAGCTCTTGAATATGTTTCCGATGTAACCGAGAGTTCATCTTTTCGTCCAAGGAAGCTTATCTTGCAAACTTTTGGTATGGACTGGTGTTTACAAGAAAATCTGTCTTTAGTTATCCCAAAATCGGCTGCACCGACAATGGAGCTGATAGTCGCCAATGGAATAACTTTAGATTACGTTCTCACAACGGCTGACATTACAATTTATGGGCGAAGATAACGGATAGGATAATCATAAATTCTGTAGAGAACATTTGTTGCATCTCGTAATTATTATTTGAAACAAGTACCATTAAAATGATATGAGAATTGATTAATCAGCGAAAAGCCATTAAAAATTACTGGAAAGGTAACAAATTATTTATTATGCAAACAAATGACATACAAATGGGTGATTTCCTTTTGTCACAATATATAATTTACTTGTACCTAAACGGCATTGCAGAAAAAATGACATTTCATTAAAATCCGCTCCATAGATATCACTAAAACTGTTGAGATACTGAGAACTGAACTCAAATATATATAAAGTATAACCTTATTTACGCAGTTAGCTGCCGACGGGTTATATTCAATTGCAGTTAAAATAAATTTATTATTTATTTATCATGGCGGCCCGCCCCAATTCCGCAGCCCAGACCAATTCCTCCCCCGCGCACACGAGAGCTCACCGGCGGTGGGTGTCCAGAGCGCGGCCTTGGCGCGTTGGCGTTCCTTCTCTCGCCGCTCCTGAGCGGCGGCGCGCTGGTCGCGGATGGCCGCCTTCTGCGCCGAGGCGGCGCGGGCGGCTGCTTCCCGCACGCGCGCCGCCTTCCGCGACACCTGCGGCCGCGTGGGCGGACGCCACCGCCGCACTCCCTCCTGCGCACGCGCCGCTACGATCGCATGTGTGCCGCTACGTTCGCATGCATGCCGCTACGATCGCACGCGTGCCGCCACGTTTACATTCGTGCCGCTACGTTTGCATGCGTGCCGCTACGTTCGCACGCGTGCCGCTACGTTAGCATGCGTGCCGCTCCGTTCACATGCGTGCCGCTCCGTTCACATGCGTGCCGCTACGTTCACATGCGTGCCGCTACGTTCACATGCGTGCCGCTACGTTCGCATGCACGCCGCTACCTTCGCATGCACGCCGCTACGTTCGCATGCACGCCGCTCCGTTCGCATGCGTGTCGCTACTTTCGCATACATGCCGCTAGGTTCGCATGCATGACGCTACGTGCGCATGCGTGCCGCTACGTTCGCACTGCACATCAGCGGGGCCGCTACGTTTAGAACAGAATTTGCTTCTTTTTGTTGGCTAATTCTTATTTTAGGGTATGACTCTGGTGTGCGGTGACCTGTTCGTTGGATTCGGTTCTAAACAACGCTTCTTCTAGTGTTCGTTCTTCACAACCTGTTTGCTACTACGCATGTTTCAATACTAGTAGTCGGGGTGTACACGATGGAGGTTTTGAACGGGTGTTTCTTTGGTGATACGCGAAAAGATCAGATGGGCGATGTCTTACCTTGGACCTGGTGGCGTGCGCCGGCCGGCGTTGCCCATAGCGGTTGCGCATGTAGGGGTGGCGCCTTTGGGGAGAGATTGGCGCCTTCATGTGCTTCTTCAGTATATCCGCACTCTCCGCCGAGGTGTATATCTTGTGTTTCGGCCGAGGCCGCTCACTCGTATCAGACGTACTGGTGTCGATGTTATCCTTTGAAATAAAGGAAAATCCGATAACGTGAAGCCAAACGTCAAATTCGTGGAATAGTGTAACTATAGCGGAATAAATATAGTGGAAATTCTTGGATTATTGTATTATGCAACTAGTTAAGATGATGTTAAGATTAAATGGGTAAGTAAATGTTTTGACTGAGGGCTCGGTGGATGAGGGGTTAAATTACTGTATAACTTACTGTGTAACTTACTAGTTTATTTGACTGTGCAAAGACCAAGGATTGCGGTCTGCTATGTGTCTGTGCGTAAAAACGTGTTCTATTGCAGGCAATCTACGACTTCGTGGCTGTGATTCAGTGTGTGAATGCATTTATTCGTTCCATGTTACTTTGTACTGAATTTTTGTAAAGCAAGTTATTTACTGAGATTAATTATTTATTTGCCAAATTTAAGATAGTGTGGTGTAACAAAGCGTTAAAACATGAGGAGATAAGAGAAATAGACGAATACAGATTGATCAAAGCATTTTGGCAAGAAAAGGAGGGACTTTGAGGAGAAAAATATTTCATACATCCACATACTTCTGAACAACATGAGGTTGATATAAGCCAATTTTACCCAATTCAAGTAGGTACACAAAACTACTCTTTTACTACAATTAAAGAAGGTAATGATCCTCCAACACAAGAGAACGCAAAAATAATGTACTCCCATACATAGAGGTTTTGGAGCTTTTACCATAAATAACTAAAAAATTCTAAAATATGACTTTGGAACTGGGACTGGACTAAAAAGGACTGGCACAATTCTGGCTTGAAATTCACCGCGTGTTTATACATAGACAAACATGTGTCACGTCTTGAGTCAGACCACTTTCAGATTCTCTGGATTATAATGCTACAAGACATCAAAATCTAGCACTCGTATGAGTTTCTCGCGATTATAAAAAAGCAACTGGAGGTTGAGACCACAAGAGACATACATAGACAAGCAAGTGTCAAGTCTTGGGTCAGACCACTTTTGGATGCTTCAAGACACCAAAATCTAGTATTCGCATGTGTTTCTCGTGATTTAAAAACGCAACTTGAGGGTGATGGCGCAAACGACATACATAGACAAACAAGTGTCTAGTCTTGGGTCATACCACTTTTGGATGCTACAAGACACCAAAATCTAGTATTCGCATGTGTTTCTCGCGATTTAATAAATCAACTGGAGGTTGAGGCCACAACCGACATACATACACAAACAAGTGTCAAGTCTTGGGTCAGACCACTTTTGGATGCTACAAGACTCCAAAATCTAGTATTCGCATGTGTTTCTCGCGATTTAATAAAGCAATTGAAGGTTGAGGCCACAACCGACATACATAGACAAACATGTGTCATGTCTTGGACACCTTTGGATTCTGTAGAGTATAATGC